AAGTACAAAGAAAGTGGATTTTTGACACAAGTAATGCAACAAAAAACAATGAAAGATTTCAGGAGCAAACAAACAAACAAACAAACTCCAGAAGAGAACCAAGACTTCAAGTAATTCAAATTAAATCTCATTCAAGGCTTCAACTGTCTGCAGGACAGGATGAGTCTCCTATAGCCAAAACTATGTTTTTATCACTAAAATATTGTTATTAAAGCATTCTCAGATATTCAGTTTTAGTTAAATGAAAATTACAGAGACCAAAATAGTACAAAATGTCATTATTTCCGATTAAGTTGTCAGATTCTGTTTATTTCCAGTCATTTCTGTGCAGAAAAAAAAGGTTTTAGTGGTTTTAATGTTCTGCTGGATGCTTTTCGGCTGAAATTTTTGGGGAAAAACAGGAGAGTTGGGATTTAAATCCTGATGATCTGAAAGTGTTGAAACGTTGGCTTAAACGTTTAAACGTGAGAATTAAAGCTCCTGGTGATGCTGGATGCAGAAATAACAGAAATAACTCTGATATTTTTAGTTTAAACAGGTTTTTTTTAGAGATTTCTGCAAAAAAGACAATGTTTTTTGGTTTTCTAACCGAATGAGATGGTGAAAATAATAATGAACATGATAGTAAAAGGCATTCCCACATTATTTCTGAAATAAATAAATGGCTAGTCGATGCTATCAGTAGCATTTAGCTACAGATAGATATGCCAGAATCAGAGTCTGGACCTGAAGCAGTGGAGGACCCAGAATCAGAGCAATGATGGGGGGATGAGAACTAATGTTTGGTGAACAGCTGAGATCGGCCATTTGAGAGCAAAAGGCTGAAAATAAAACCCCAGATGACGCAAAACAAAGTCCACAGAACTCCTGACGAAGCGAACGGAGGATCTGGGACTCGGGAGGCTTCTGAACCCAGAAAAAACCGAACGGAGAGAAAAGGGGACGAATCGGAAAAAGAAGCCGAACACCAGCAGGAAGTTGTGGGCTCTCCCAGCATCCCCTCCACGCCGAACGCAAACTCCCGTGGTTGCCAGGCAACAGCTGCCCCCTCGCCCCCCCGCTTCCTCCTCCTCCTCATCCTCTTTCCAGTCCTCCTTTAGCTCCTGCCTGAAGGTCAGGCCTCCAGCCCTCAGCTCGTCTCTCCTCCTTCCACTCTGGTCTGTGGCCTGGACACCCCCCA